AACAACAGCATCCTTTTCCATGAGACCAAAATAACTGGATAGTGCCCAGCTACTATTACTGAAAATTTTGATCCACAGAATCCTCATCAAAAGTAGGGAGATGCAGAACAGAATTTCAAATCATCGTGGAGTCCAAGCTTCCTGAAGACTTAAAGGCTAGATGTTTGTTGTTAGGTACTATCAATTCAGTTTCAACTCATAGTGACCTCAAGTACAACAGAATGAAACACTGTATGGTCCTTCACCTTCACAGTAGTTGCTGTGCTTGAACCCATTGCTACAGTCATTGTGTCAGTCCATCTTGTTGAGGGTCTTTCTCTTTTTCACTAACCATCTGCTTTACCAAGCATGATGTCCTTCTTCAGAGACTGGTCCCTCCTGATAATATATCCAAAGTACAACAGGCAAAGTCTTGTCATTCTTGTTTCTAAGGAGCATCCTGGCTGCACTCAATACAAGACAAATTTGTTTGTTCTTCTGGCAGTCCATGGTGCATTCACTGTTCTTCACCATCACCACAATTCAAATGCATCAGTTCTTCTGCAGTCTTCCTTATTCACTGTCCAGCTTTCACATGCATATGAGACAATGAAAATAATATGGCTTTGGGTCAGGTGCACCACCTTAGTCTTCACTGAAACTGTTGCCTGAGATAATTTTTAAACCTTAAACCAAAAATATCCCCTGAAATATTTGTAAAACAATAGTTTAGCTTAACTAGTAAAAATGTGTTCTGTGAGCATTATGCCCTTTTAAGAAACTATCTATAAGGGAAAAATTGACAATAGCAACTTGAAAAATTAGATATGAACCTGAAAGATCAATGAATTTATGTCAGTAGGGGAGCAACAACTCAGAAAAGGAGAGAAAATGATTAAGCAACTAGAAGAATGTGATCAGTGTCACTAAATGGTACATGTAGAAACTGTTGGATTGGTACGTTTTGCTGTGTATATTGTCAACAAGAGAATAAAATTATGTTTTAAAAAAGTTTACCATTTTGACCATTTTTAAGTATATAATTCAGTGACGTTAATTTTCTCCATGTTGTACAACCATCACCACTATCCTTTTCAAAAGTTTTACATCACCCCAAACAGAAACTCAGTACCCCTTGTTCTGGTTACCTAGTGCCGCTCTGACAGGAATATACAACAAATGGGATGCTTGAACAAACAGGAGTTTATTTTCTTACAGTTTGGAGGCTTTAAGTCTGAGTTCAAAGTGCCAGGTTCTAGGGGCTGGGTGAAAGCCTTTCAACCTTGGGCTTCAGCTCTGCCTCCTGTTCCCGGCCCACTGAAGCTGGAGGCTTTTCTTCACTCAGCTGCTGACTGCTGAGGCTAACAAGCCCAAGGTTAACAAGTAAAAAGGCACAGTCCCGATGTTACCAAACATATGGCAGGCCAGTAATTCAAGTCCATCGAAAGTTCCAAGATGAGCAGATGCATGGCAGGCTCCTGACATGGCTGCATGCAGGGTTCAAGTGTGCCATAAGCTAGAGACCTTTCCCAAAGCTGTTTCTTATATATGGGAAGCGGACCACATACCCAAAGCAGCTACTCAGCTGCTCCAATAGATTCCACCATGGAGTTAATTACCAGTCTCACCATGGGGAATAACTACATTCAGCTGCCTA